GAGTAAGTCTCATGGTCACGCCTTTGCTACATGGACTAAGTCTATGGTAATAACAGACCTACTCTCAGCCAACAACTCCAGTCTCCGCCACGTCTATCCTGTTTCTATCCCTAATACCAAGTCTATGATTTCCCATGCCCTAGTCCAGTGATTTCCAAACTGGTCCCCGCAACGCCCTGGGGAGTCGCAGCCTCTTTACAGGGGTGCCGCGAAATATTGTAAAAGCTTCAATTTGAGAAAATGTGAAGTGATTTCCAGGCTCATCGATCACATTAATTATTTAATATTAATTTAACGTTAATAAAGTCAAAAAAAATAATGAAGATACACGAGTTTTATTTTTTTTCATCTTTTACTTAAGAATAGTCATACTTAGAGTAGGGCGCAATTCAAAAAATTTAACTGAAAAAGGGCGCCGCGACTAGGAAAAGTTTGGGAACCACTGCCCTACTCTATTGTGTGCCAACCCACAAATGTTGTGGTACTGCTTGCTTTGATTAAGTTCAATTTTGCACTACAACGTTTGTGGTTTGGCACATAAGAGTCTAGGGCAGTGGTTCCCAAACGTTTTTAGCCCCGGCGTCCTTTTCAATTAAAATCTTTTCATGACGTCCTACCATAAGTAAGAGATAAAAATAATTAAAACTCGTGTATTTTCATCATTCTTTTTACTTTATTAGCGTTAAATTAATATTTAATAATTAATGTGATGGATGAGCCTGTTAATCACTGCACATTATATCAAATCGTGGAATGAAACTCGACACCGCCACCCTCATTTCCTTTTCCACGTTGTTTTTTATCTATACTTGCTTTTTATTACAGCGAAAACCCAGCTTCGCACAAATACGTCGAAAATGGAATTACAATCCGCTAAGCCTTATCACATAGAAGGAAATATTCTTTTTTATTGAAATCCAAAATTTTGTCAATTCTATGCTGCCAAATTTCGCATTCAAACCGTTATCGTAAGATAACTAGAAAAGATTCTCTTCTTTTGCAGAAGTAAATTCAGACGGGACACTAGTGTTAAATGGATCTTGAATCCATACATACTGATCGAAATTT